TGTGCTTCTTCTTCCTGTTGCTCCTCTCCCAATATCTCCCAGCTTCTCCCCTCTGCAGCCTCTGAACTAAGACTTTCCGCAAACCACTGTTGTAAATCCATGCTGTCCTCCTCTTCTCGGGAAGGTTTGGGGTGGGGGGCAGCCCCACCCTTCTTCCTCAGTCCAGTCCCTGACACTCCAGGAAAAAGAACCTTCACCCACGTGCATCCCTGGCTATGTCAAAGTGATCCTGGGAGGGTCTCTGGCTCTCATCAGCAGGGTTGGACATGACCCTGCTAACTCATGCCAGGGTGCCAATCTTAAATGGGATATCCTGGGATCCAAACAGCAGCCAGGATTGGCTTCTATGATCCAGGATGTCCCGGTTAAAATGGGACAGTTGGGAGGTATAGACTTCATGGGTGCCAGGTGACAACCTCATGGGTGCCACTGGGGTCTATTAATGACCCTTGACTTGACCTGTTTTATCATCTAAACATTTAGTGGTTCATGGCCCTTGGAAGTGGTACCTATAAGATCTTCCCTATATAATAAGCTTCTCCCCACCCTGTTTGTTCTATCCATCTGCGAAAAGCCAAGAAAGCAGTTCATAAATTAACTTCTACATTAACTTTTAGAGAGATTCCATGCTGTGGACTCTTGTGAAAACAGTGGTATCAGCCACACAATGGGACATATGATAGATGTGTCAGTTAATGGCCATGACATGACTGGCTCTGAGATTCCCAAGGGTGTGATGAGCCCTGTGCATGCTTACTTGGAAGTAAGCCCCACGGAATCCAATAAACAGTCACAAGATTAGGCCGTAAAAGTATAGCCACGTGGCAAATCAGCAGTGAAGCATTGGCTCAGAGATGAAATTCTGAAAAGAGCAGAGCTTCAAGCAAGGGACAAGCAATACATTTCTAAAAGGGCTTCAGATCACTACTTGTGGTCTAACCGCATACGCAAGGGCTTCCTGTGTTTGAAATAGTCTCCAGATGATCCTTTGTATCACTCCCTAATTAGAAGGAAATGAGTCTTTAGGTATAAGAAAAATGAAACTTTACATGGGGGAATCATTCTGAGGACGTCATTTACCATCAGCTCAGCAGTAAACAACATCGCCCTGCTGTTAATTTCATTAAGAGTGAAACCGAGGTTCTCCTCTTGTCTTCTTTGTGTCTGTGAGCTCACAAGGGCTTGCATCAGCTCTCTGAGGAAATGCTGTGCAGAAGAACATAAGAAGAGAGTTCTGAATCTGGCCAATAACCCATCTAACCCAGCATCCAGCTTTCACAGTGGCCAGCCAGATGTCCCCATGGGAAACCCACAAGCAGACCTGGGTGCCACAGTGCTCTCCTCTCCTGCGGTTTCCAGGAACTGGTATTCGCAAACATACTGCCTCTGCCATTGGAGGTAGAACATAATCATCAGTGTTAGTAGCCATCTCCTCCATCTTCTATAATTTCACAATATGCTGGAGTGTTGTCAAGGATGCTGTATGGACATGGTCCACCTAGCCTTAGGTCACTCCAGATCTGCTACCTGATAGGTAACTCCTTCCCCACTTTCTTAACTGGGCATACTGTTGGTGAGATTCTGGCTACCCACCATCTTTCAAATTAGCACATGCAAATACTATGCAGATTATTGCTATTAGCCTGTGCCCCCCATCATTTTATAAGTACTTAGCATTATCTCTTTGTGCAGGTGCTAATACTCTGCTCCAGGGAAACAACACATCTAATTTTGAAGCCCAGGAGAGGACATTCCTTGATTGGTAGCAGCTCCCCAGCATTTCAGAGAGCGGCCTGTCTGGAGATATTGTGGGTAGAACCTTTTACATGTAAAGCAGCTCCTCCATGACCAAGTTACGGCTCTTCCCAAGCAGACACTGTGTACTTAGACTTTCAAAAAAGCTTTTGATAAAGTCCCTTGCCAAAGATCATTGAGTAAGTCAAGCAATCATGAGATAAGAAAGATGGTCTACTTATGGATCAGTAAAGGGTTAAAGAGCAGGATGCTGAGAGTAGGAATATGATGATAGTTCTCCCAGTGGAGGGATGTAGGAAGTGGAGTTCCCCAAGGACCTGTGCTTTTGCATTTGTTCAGAAATGACTTGGAGTTAGGGACAGAGCAGGGAGGTGGGCTAATTTCCCAATGTCAATAAATTCTTCAGAAATCTGTTGATCTGGCCTTCTGTTGGTGCAATCTAGAATTACGTCAGCCTTTTTTTTGCCACCACAATTGCACCGCTGACACTCTCTCTCTCTCTCTCTCTCTCTCTTTTGCTTGGGGTCTACTAAAACCCACAAAACCTTTTCACCTGTGCTGCTGCCAAGCCAGATGTCGCCCATTGCATATTTGTACACCTGATATTTCCCTACCTAAATGCAGAACTCTACATTTACCTCTTTTGAAATACATTTTGTTACTTTTCACCCAGTTCTCCATCCTGTCATGATCACCTTGACTCGCTACCAAAAATCATGGCGGATAGGTCTAGGGCAGTTAAACTGAAGGCCTCCTTCAGAGACAGTAGACCTCTGATAGCCGTGTAGTCTGCGGCAAGAGCAGGAGAGGCATTAAGGGGATGGATATATTGATCGCGACTTGCTTGTGAGCTCCTAAAAGTATCTCAAAGCAGGACGCTGAAGTAATTGGTTTGATTCCGCAAGGCAATTGTCGTCATGGTCGTACTCTGAAAGGTGTTAGATTGGCCGATCCCCACCTCACTTAATTCCAGCCACTCTGACCTAATTAACTTATGGCTCAAGCTGACATCTTCAGTCGCAGCAAACAACATGGGACCTGGTTTTGGTCTTTGTGTTCAAGTTGTTCCGCTCCTCACACCCTCGGTTCCTTAACGTTCTGTCGCAATCAGCATCCTTTGAGGTTTGAATGATGCCTTTGCCTGACCTTGTCATTGTGTTCTTTGTTCTTTTGTTAGGGTTGAAAACAATCCCTTTTTTTAAAAAAAAAGGTGGGTGGACCAAAAAGTGTGCAATTAAGCATTCCTTTCAACAAGAAAAATGTCACTTATTAATCAGTTCCCCCACCCCAGACAAAGATTAATGATTGTAACCCTCACTTAATTCTCCATGCTCCGCTGTAACACACACCAAAAGGAATGCATTAATGGAGCATTTTTCTGTTTTAGTTTTTACTAGACCTTTCTTAGAAATGCAATAACGTTCTCAGTGTGAGTGTTTATAGTTTAAAAATAAAATCCAAGGTGTCTGCCAACCTATTCACAATGAAATACACCCCCCTTTAATAATGGGGTGTTAACAGTTGTAGTTTTCCAGAAAAAGAGGTGCTGGAACTCTTCCCTTGTTCTCTTAGAATGGCAATGGCATTTACCTGAGAGGTGCCAGGACTGAGTTCTGGTGAGTTCCATCTGAAAAAAAGCCCTGGTGCTAGTGGGGTGTTTCATATTGTTTTTGAGACAGAAAGAGACTTTGAAACAATGGATTTCCAACCTAAAGCATGGATGGCAGAATGTTCAGCAGAATGTTTATGGGATACAAAGACTGGATAGCTCAGTTGGTACAGCATGAGACTCGTAATCTCAGGGTTGTAAATTGGGCAAAAGATTCCTGCATTGCAGGGGGTTGGACAAGATGGCTCTCATGGTCCATTCAAGTATAAAATTCTGATTCTAAGTAGCTGGACCCATGTGTCTGGCTAGAGTCTGCCCTGTAGTCATCACCAGTGCCAAGATTTCCAGCTTAGGAAAGGACAACCAAAATGATCAAGGGGCTGGAACAACTGAGGAAAGGCTGCAACAATTTTTTTTGGGTGGAGTAATTTTGAGAAAAGGCCACCAGCGCGATATACACAACATGGAGAAAGTGAAGTTTTTGTCCCTCTCTCGGAACTTGGAGACGGCCAACGAAGCTGAATGTTGGAAGATTCAGGATGAAGAAAAGGAAGTACAGTACATCTCCAGCAGCACATGGTTAAACTTTGAGATTCACTCCCAGAAGATCCTGTGATGGCCACCAACTTAAAAAGAGGATTAGTCTAATACATGGAGCATAAAGGTATCAATGGCTATGCTGTACATCTGTTGTTGGAGACAGCATGCATCTGAACACCTGTTTCTAGGAATCACAAGTAAGGAGAGAGGTGAGGCACTCATGTTGTGCTTCACATATGAACCTGGGTGGCCACTGTAAGAACAAGATGCTGGACTTCATAGGCCATTTGCCTGATGCAGCAGGTATCTTCTTGAGAGCCATTGCAGGTCTGAGTAGACAACAGAAGACTAAGTGAACAGTCTGACCTGGCAGAAGGCAGTATTCTGTCTTCCTAATATTTTTACCTTAATTCGAATGGCACAAGAATACACACAACTAAATGTTCTATGAAAGAGATTGTAGAAACTCAAACCCATGAATATTCAGAGGTTTTTGTTTTCCTGGAGGTGGGTGGGGGGAGGGGGATGACTGAGGTTACTGAGGCCATTGCAGATAAAATATCTGGCTTAGAAATGCAATTCCCTCTGGTCTTATCATTTCCCCGTATTAGGCCATGCACTCCTCCAAAGCCATAAAAATGTTTAAAGCACTATGGAAATGGAGCCTTGGCAGGTAGAAAGTATAATAATTGCCTGCTGACAGAAACAGAATTATTCTGAATTCACTTTGGAATAATTTTGTAATCTCCAAGAAATGTTTTCCGAATCCTCTGATCTATCTACAAGGCTCGAACTAGGGCTGCGTAAACACCACATCCCCAAAGAACCCCGAGAACTGTAGTTTATCCTTCACAAAGCTACCAATCCCAGTACCCTTAACAAACTGCAGCTGCCACAATTCATTTGGGGTGTGTGTGCTTTAAATATATTGTGTGTACACATCCTAGGTCTATTTGGGATGGTTTATTACCTGGGAGGTCACAAGTGGCAAGGGGATTATAGGTGTCCCTGTATGTGGGGTAGGAGCCAAAAGGACCCATCAGCCCTGCTATGGTACCTCCCTGTTGGGCCTCCCTGTTCTCCCTTCAGTCGGGAAGGGCCATAGCTCAGTGACTGAAAATCTGCTTTACATGCAGAAGGTCTTAGGTTCAACCCCTGGCATCTCCATGTGATGCTTGCAGAGAACCTTGTGTGAAATCCTAAAGAACCACTGCCAGTCCATGTAGATGGAACTGAGACAGATGGATCACTGGGCAAGCCTTGTGACAGGAAGTTGATAAGGCAGCTTCCTGTGTTCTTTGCTTAGTAGATCAAGGGCAAAGTCACTATAAAGCACAAGGAGCTGCATAGGTTCTAATAGTTGTAGTCAACTAAGTTCTACTTAGAGTGGACCCATGAGAACAAGTGGTGGTGGCTAACTTAAAGGTAAAGGGACCCCGACCATTAGGTCCAGTCGTGACTGACTCTGGGGTTGCAGCACTCATCTCGCTTTATTGGCCGAGGGAGCCGGCGTACAGCTTCCGGGTCATGTGGCCAGCATGACTAAACACTTCTGGCGAAGCAGAGCAGCGCACGGAAACACCGTTTACCTTCCTGCCGGAGTGGTACCTATTTATCTACTTGCACTTTGACGTGCTTTCGAACTGCTAGGTTGGCAGGAGCAGGGACCGAACAACGGGAGCTCACCCCGTCGCAGGGATTCGAACCGCCGACCTTCTGATCGGCAAGTCTTAGGCTCTGTGGTTTAACCCACAGTGCCACCCGTGTCCCAGTGGCTAACTTAGGTCCACTGATTTCAAGGAGTCTGCTCTGAGCAGGACTTAGTTGGGTGCAACCCTATGCAATATCAGCGCTACACCACAATTTTGTTCCCCTTTTCACTTGCAGGAGACTTACTAAAAAGTGTCGGCCATTAATGGTTTATGATTGTTAGTCATTAATGGCTTGAGCCATTGGGGCTGCTTACCAGTACAGGCACACCTGGTTTTATTGCACAGATATTGCTCTTTACGAGGATGTGGGTGCAGCTGCTGGCAGCCTAGTCACTTCCAGGGGAAGGAAGTGCCCTGCTGCTACCACCCCTCTTTCGGCCACAGGAGTGGAATTGGCTTGGGCTGGAGCTGTTTTTCCCCCTCCTGCCCCTGCAGCTGGGGAGGTTGGGTGGTGGTGCCGGCTTAATAGGCTACAGAACAGAGTAAACATAACTTGTTATGTCCTGGGAAACAAAGAAAACCAACAACAAAATTGTGTGGCTCAATTTATTGTAATATTCCTTTTATTGCAGTGGTCTGGAACCGAACCCGCAATATCCCTGAGAGATGCCAGTACTGGTTATCTTTTCTTTTAAAAAAGGGCACACACTGATTTTCCATCCATTTCTCCACATGGTTACGTTACCACTGGGCATTCCAGAGAGGAAGGGTAGACTAAATTGCAAACTAATTACAGTAAAGTACTTGAGATGAAACCAATTCAGCTCCAGTGATGTAACCACTTGTAAGCCACATGACCAGAGCCAATAGCCCAACCCAATCCAGTTGACAGAAATTTGGCCACAGGCTCCAATAGGAGGTGAACTATGATGCCCTTTGTTTTGCTTTTGAAGGCTTTCAACTTAGTAAGCTTATGGTTTGATTAGACTGTAACCCCTAACACTTTATTCTTTCCCCCCCAATACCACTTTCCTCAGTCAGTAATTTATATTTTCCAGCACTTTTCCCTTGCAGATAACGCAAAAAAAAATGTAACGACATACTTCAGGCTGTTACTCTAATGCTGTTTTACTTGTCTGGCGAATGACTATATCAAAGGCAGCGGTGGTCAACTATTTTGGCAAGTGCACCACAACTCCAAAGTCAAAGGAAACCAGGAGCTCGGAGAGCTGGATTTGTGCTTAGCCGCCATATGTGGTGAGACTCAGAACTGCAGGCTGGAGCATCAGTCTTGCAACCAGCCCAGTCTTAGTCTCGGCCTTACCCTTGTAGAATTAGCAGGGAGGAGGATGGGGACAAAATGATGATTAGCTTAAGGTTACCAGACATCCCCATTTCCCAGGGACTGTCCCCAGATTTACAAATCAGTTCCCTGACAAAATCCATCTATTTAGTAGGAAGTTGAAAAGTATCCCCTGATTCATTGAAAAAAAATCTGGTAACCTTAGATTAGTTGGTTCTGCCTGTCATTGTCTCTTGATCTACCCAAATGTTGGTCTCCTTGCCTTCTACCTCCTCCAGTTCTAGGGGGAGGACACTAGCCTCCACAGCACGAAATCAAATCTCCAGTTTAAAGACAGTAGAGGGGTGGGGAATGCTCTCCGTTTCCTTGCAATATGTGTTTGAAGGAGCTGTTGGGATCCACCAAATTCTGGCAAGCTTTCATTTGCTGATGCTTTCACTGACAAAACGAAAGGGATTGATTTGATAGATGTGGGAGGGTTGTTTTTGCTTTTATGAGTCTTCCACGCCACTTTACACTGGGCTAATCTCAGGGTTAGTCTTTAGGCCTCCGCTGTAGCGTCAACATGACTGTATCCTTCTCTGACCATGACAGCACATCTTGCAAATATGTGTGACTCAGTGGGATTTATATTCTACTTGTTTTTGACAGTTTCTTTCTGATAGTCCATAGTCAGGGGGGTGCATTGTTATTCCCTGGCAGGATTTATGGGCTTGCCTGCATCATTTCTCTAATTCTTTATTGCCACAATGTCCTGGGAAAATTTTTATCTCACTATGGGTAGGTGATAACAAAGATCTTTTGATTCCCCTCCCTTCTTTACATCAACATGACCGATTGTAATGTGAAAGCAAGATTAGTAACAACTGTTGGCTGCACGGTTCCCGGGGATGCAAAAGAAGACATAGACACATTTAATCAGAGTTCAGCAGAGCTGGAATATTAATGAATGGGAGCAAACAAGCCAAAGTCATTGGTTCAAGGGCTGGTAGCCAAACTCTTCTTGCAAGCGACTCAACAGAAGTTTGGGAAAACTTCACAATGAGTATTGGGGCTCTCATTGTTTTGCAGGAGGGGTTCAGGCACATACTGGAAATTTAGGTTTGCACAATTTGAGTAGATTAAAGTTCTCTGGTGCCCTGGTGCAACAAATCCACTTAAAATAATAATCAGCAACTGACTTTTTATGGTTAGGAAAGTGAAGGGGAAAGGAACTGAAAAGGGTGGGGTGAATGAATGGTTAACAGGAAGATACGTTAACACCTTTCAAGCAGGTTGGGATGATTATCCATCTTAGATGAATGCTCGATGAAGACCAGACATAGTCTAATCGCCATGTAAACGTTGTGCAAGCAGACCAGGATAAATGCTGAATAGACAGGAAATATGGAGGAACCCTTAGAACATGGAGAGCTCTTGGAGTGTCAGCTCTAGGTTTTCAAGACCCACCCAACATCCTTGGGCAAGAGACCTTCCATGGATCCTTCTTCCTCAGTGAGTACACTTTCTCACTCCAACACATCCAAGGGGATCTTGTCAGTGGGCTCTTTGTAGAGGCCCACATGACAATAATTCATGAACTGCTTGGAATCTTGCCACCACATCCTTCTCCTGGGATGAAGCTATCTTAACTAAAGGACCGTTATGAGATTTCCAGCATATTTAGCCACAGAGCACCACCAATATGCATGCCTTGACACCAGGAGTGGGAAACCAATGGCTTTTGAGATGTTGTTGGACACTAACTTCTACCAAGTCCAGCCAGCATGACCAACAATCAGAAACAATGGGAACTCTAGTCCAGGAACTTGTAGGGCAACAAGTTCATCACCCATGTTCTGTGTGCTCCTCCAGCTGATAGATCTGCACCATGGTTGATTGGTAATAGTGATGCAAGATGTTGATGCTGCTTCTGATTGCAACCATTCCCACAAAGCTTTTTTTTGCTGTCCCAGAGTGGGGTAGCCTGCACAACATTGCAGACAGGTACAGTATAGGGTCAGGCTTTGCTATAGTCTACTCACAGAAAGGGTGGCTGCCTCCATTAACCCTGTTGCAGAGCCCCCACATTCCTGTGCTTTATGTAAATAAGACTGAACTATTTTTGCCCCAAAGAACTTGCAATCCAAATGTTCACAGCAGAGGAGAGGGGTGAGATGAGGGAGAAAACAAAAGGGTATAAACAGGAAGTAAAGTATACTAGATAGCAAAGTAGACTGATGTGAGCAAATGCTTAATCTTACTGAATTGGAGCAGAAGTTCATCTAGTCCAGTTAGGAAACTGACTAACCAGATGAATATGGGAAGCCTGGAAGCAGGGCAGGGCATGAAAGCCATGGCTCTCTCCTGCTGAGAAGTCTTCCTTGAGAATTTCCAAGTATTGCTTTGCTTCGGTTTTGGAAAGAGTGAATGAGATATATTCACCTTTAAATGTGAACTGAATTGGATTTCTGCCTCAGCCTTAACTGTAATGGGTGGTGAGGACACTAGGGAAGCCTTCTTCAGCGCTTTTGGGTCATGCCATGCATTCACAGGGAAGAAGAAGAGTTTGGATTTGATATCCTGCTTTATCACTACTGGAAGGAGTCTCAAAGCGGCTAACATTCACCTTTCCCTTCCTCCCCCACAACAAACACTGTGAGGTGCGTGGGGCTGAGAGACTTCAAAGAAGTGTGAGTACCCCAAGGTCACCCAGCAGCTGCATGTGGAGGAGCGGGGACGCGAACCCGGTTCACCAGATTACGAGTCTACCGCTCTTAACCACTACGCCACACTGGCCACACACATTGTTGTCACATCAGACTAGAGCATGTGTTGCATTCTGCACGTTGTTTCTTGTGACGGTAGAGAGGAAGCTTTGGGAACTACAATAGAGCCCCACCGGGTTCAGAAGAACATAAGAAGAGTCTGCTGGATCAGGCCAATGGCCCATCTAGACCAGCATCCTGTTCTCACAGTAGTCAACCAGATGCCTGTGGGAAACCTGCAAGCATGATTCGAGCACAAAGCATCCTCATTCCATGTCACTTCTAGTAACTGGTATTCAGATATATTGCAGCCTCCAATGAACCTCATTGGCTCTGAAGGCAGAACTGCAAAATTCTGCTTTAAGGAAAAGCAGATCCATCTCACCCATTTGGAAGGTTCAAAAATAATAACACTATATGGTGATATGTACTTTGTTCACACGGGGACGCGGGTGGCGCTGTGGG